GTTTGGCTTGTCCGCTAACATCTCCTTCCTTCTCTTCTCGCTCTGCTTTCATTAACAGAGTTCTGCTCTCTGATTGGTGCACTAACACGACGTCATCACCTTCATTTCAGCCTGTTCTTGTGCATTTATGTATGAGGGGTTATTAGTGCCATCTATCACATGTACTGGGTGTATTAATAAGATTAAAGGTGTAGAGGAGCTGTGCTGCCCCCTACAGGCTGGGATGAAACAGGACACTAGGTGTGTTTACCTGTTTTAATTTAACACTGTTGTTGGGGAGTAACTAGTTACTAGTGATTACTAGTAACTAGTTACTGTAAGTGAATTACAAAATAAATGTAATTGTAATTAGTTACTGAGAAAACATGTAATTAAATGACGGTTACCAATCAAAATGTTGGCGATTGCAAAGGCATCATAGCTGCTTTTTGGTAAAAGCCTAGAATATAACATTTATTCTGTCGCTGTCCATCTTGTTGCCTTTTGGCATATTTCCATCCAAAATCATTAGTGGCTTTCAAGGAGCTGTCTCTGTCCAGATCAGCTCCAATCGTTTGGCAGCATGCACTCAAATTTCTTATTTGCCACTTTTGATGGGTTCTCTGTTTTGAATTTGCACAGCATCTTCTCTGCCGGTCAACTTATCACACGCTGCTCTAAGCACCTGGGGTCTGTCACGCGACCAGCTGACCAAACAGAGGCGTGTGGTCATCGGACAGGAAACTATAGTTTCCTTCTGAAATTTGAAAACAGCTCTAACCATACTGTGCGGTATAAAGCTTGTAACCCAGCGGGGACATTCTGCATAATGTCAGACTTGAGGAAACAGCTCAAAGTGAGTTCACGTAACTGCAGCCACTCACATAAAGCGCCTCCCACCCCATCACGTTGTTTCTGTGTTCAGGAGGTAATTTAGCTCTGCATTTTGCTCGGTGCCCGTCCAGTAGGTTACGTGTGTTTTGGAATATTCAGCTTCCTTACCCGGTTTAAAACATTTGTTAGAAAGTTATGTAAAAGGAAGCAAATGTAATGGGTCAGTGCTTTGATGAAATGATTAAAGTAGCTACATTATTTACTACATTTTTAACGGGGTAATGAGTAATCTGTTACCTTCCCAATGCTTAACACACATGAAATTATAACAAGTGTGTTTGTCGTCTAATTGCAGATGTTTAGTCCAAATATTTATTTTTGAAATGTAATTAAAGTGTTTTCCTTATTACATAATAACACATAAACCCAGACGTTATTTTTTTCACTGTTTTCTAGCATTTTATTGATGGTGATTCAAAAGAGAAAACAGCTGGGAGATGGATCAATAATAAAAAAATAATGGTTAGTTGCAGCTCTGTTATATTTTATTACTTCAGTCTCTCAAAGAGAAGCTCAAATGGAGCAAAATAATACAAAAATATCTAATAATAAAAACTGATTGGGACATTCAGGTGGCAGGTGGCACCAGTCACCCCCGTACACCAGGAGCACTGACCTGAGTGTGTGCAGCGTTTTAATGTGATGCTAACGCTTCTCTCTGTTTGACGTTACTTCAGCCGGAGACGAGACACAGATAACTATGAACCAATGAAAAGGTTTGTGCCAGTCGCTCGGTGTCGTAAACCCTGTGACGTGATAGCTAGCTGGCTAAACGTGGAGTAGATGATGCTAGCACACTCACATCTGGAAACACCTTCAGATGTTTTCACAGGCCTGAAACTCCACCACAGTAAAATGGTAATGCTGAAGTTTTTCTTTAACTGTGACGGATACTCTGCACCTTCCAGAGTATCCGTCACAGTTGGGGAGAAAATGTGCTGGTTAAAGGCAAAGACCCCGATTAGCCCTCTGGATTGTTTTATTCATAGCATTAAGGGTCCCACAGTTTTTCACTCCAAACTGTTTCTGCTGCTCGATTTCTGGTTTTGGTTGTGTACTTGACAACCTGCAGCTTCTGCAGTGCAGCTCTGTGTTTTTGGTGGCGACTTGTTTGTGCTCCCGCCCACTGTCACAGTAACAGGCAGGTGACAAATGAAGGCAGCAGCCTGAATGCTTGGCCCCCACTGTGAGAGGATCTGGGGGCTATGTCCTACAGCTGGGGGGCATTCTGCTCATGATTTGGCTCCACTTGTCCCCTCAGAGGGAAGGGTTGCTGCAGATCAGTAGTAGATCAGTAGAGCGATCGCCTTCATCCTGGGATGTAATAGTTCTCTCCTGATGGGAACAGTCTCTTCCAGGATGGCGGCGCCCCCATCCACAGGAAGTGATGGGCCACTGACTGGTCTGATGAGGGTGAGGCGTGCGGTTTCTCGGCCGCGTTGGCGTCTCCACCACCGGCACCTCACTGAGACACCACAGACCTCCACAGCTTCTACCGGGTGGCGCTTCCCCACTTGTTTTGACTGCTAATTTTTAATTCTGTTATTTTCTAGAAATATTTCATAGGAACCATTTTTCCATGTAATGAGACAGTGACCCACGCCTCTTCAAATGATCCATTCATGGCGGGTTTCGCCAAAAGGCAACGTGTTTGCAGCTGTTTTCAGATCCGAGTTGAGTCTGTGAACACTGTAGAAACTGGAGTTGTTGGTATTTTGTCTTGTAGCAGTTTGATTAAAGCGTCTGTGGTAGACAGATACAGGCGGATATTTGTGTCTGGTGAAAATGTTCTGCTGCCTGTTTGCTCCTGTTGTTGTGTTTTAGTCTTTTAGACCCTTTCCACTTTGCTGGAGGAACCAGAGGCACTAACGAGCCTTTGGAGTCCAGTCAGCTCTCGGATGCAGAGTCAAAGGCCAGAGCGACTACGTGCCGCAAGCTAACAGTCAGCTGACTCCTTCCTGTCTTTCTCCACAGTGTTGCCTCGGCGATGCACTCAGAGGTGCCCGACCGCTACGAACGACTCACGTCCGTCTCCAGCTCCGTCGACTTTGACCAGCGAGACAATGTAAGGACACCTTCACTCTACTCATCTTCCTCTTTTTGAGGCAAAGACACTGTGAAAGAGACAGGTGTAATAACTCTGTTAGTCGTTCAGCAGCGGCGGCAGCGACAAACAGATCATGCAGGCAGTTAAGACCCTTTAAAATACTGACTGACCCGGTTCATGTCCAAACTGGTCCTCTTCCTCCACAGTCCTGAAGTGAACACAGACACGAAACACATGCTGATCTGATTCAGTGTGATGTCCACTTCCTGAAGATCATATTGCCCCTCCAGAACAGAGGGACAATCCAGAGAAAATCTTCCTCTTTCTAAGTTTCCTTGAGTCTCTCAGTGATCCAGTGACAGTGGTGTGTACGTCTGTGGGGACACTGCACACCGGAGCTGCTCAATGCTCATCCTGCTGCTGGTAGCGGGGACACTGTGACCACACATCGACTGATATGGGATTCAAAAACTGTTACACAGTTAATCCACTGACACATAGTCCTTCTCCATGGCCTCAGGCCATGGAGAAGGACTATCGATCGGCCTCGAAGAAATTCTGGCAAACCGTCCGGCGCCTCAGGAGGGGGAAGCAGTGCCCTGCCAAAACTGTTTACAGTGGTATGCCAGGGTACTGGAGAGGAGAATTCGACCGATAGTCGAACCTCGGATTCAGGAGGAACAATGCGGTTTTCGTCCTGGCCGTGGAACACTGGACCGGCTCTATATCCTCTTCAGGGTGGTGGAGGGTTCATGGGAGTTTGCCCAACCAGTCCACATGTGTTTCGTGGCTCTGGAGAAGACATTCGCAGCGCCCTGTTGGAGGTGCTCCAGGAGTACGGGGTCTGGGGCCCTTTGTTAAGGGCTGTCTGGTCCCTGTACGACCGGAGCAGGAGCTTGGTT